CGTGCTGGTATAGGATATTGGGTTTCTAATTTACGGGTTGCTTCAAAAAGTATCTCTGTTACCTCTTTGGCAGCTGTATACAATCCCAAGCACGTTCTATTTGACGTGATCTAAAGCGAAACATAAAGAAATTTTATAAAATAGCTATTTTTAATATACTGCCTATAAGAACAGATACTTACTCTATTAATTCATGCTGTTTCATGATAATAATCTCATTGGAAATAGGTCATATTACGACGTATACATTCTCCAAATTCATCAATTGTTCGTATGAGATTCTCCAGCTCTCTCTCAACGTATTTATTGCGAAAACCAAATACATTCTTTACCACATACAAGGCACTAAAGCCTCCGGTCACGACCCAAGGAGGGTATTAAAGTTAAACGAAAAGCACGTGGTGTTATAAGGTGTTCCAAAATAGTACTACCCAATAAGATACAAGCATTGCGTGCAGTAAATATTTCTGGCCATAATATTTCCTGTTGTTTATTAATGCACTTGTCTTTGCCATCGCATTTATCATGACTGCTATTAGCTGCTGCTGTGGTTGTTGGTAAGGGAGTATCTTGCATAAAAGCATACATTGCTCTAAACGCTTCAACATGATCGACCAGCAATCTTTTTGAATATAATATTTTATTTATTAGACTATTGGTTATAGTCTTTAAGCATCCATTCAAATAAAAGAGAATTGTTAATTATTTTCGAAACTAATTAAAATATTTTGTGTGCAACTCACCTGCTTTTGCTTGAGTTCGTCTGTCAATTGACGACTCACTTGTAGCTAAAAATAGCAAGAAACAATAAAAATTTAATTATTTATGCTTGTTGTTATATAAACGCAATTTTACACACACCTTCATTTTAATATTTATCTTTGCACTACACTTTTATTAATTAGTTTACAATTTATATTTAAATTTATTTTTTGTTCTTTCCTTCAAAACTGATTTACACTAAATTTGCACACAGAGCCCTGCGCCGACAAATATTAACGGCGGCGGCGACTGACACTAAATATGTCGGCGGCGGCTTTAAAATCTACTGTAAGCCGGCTAAGTTTTCAACTACGTTTAGTTTTTAAATTTTCAACGATTTTAAATAAAAACGGAATCCGAGAGATCAGAAAGTGGGACTTTGGAAGCAAATATATTGTTTATAACAACAAAACAGATCAAGCTCAAAAGTTGTGTGAGAAATTATGCAGGGATGAATAAAAAATTCTTAAAAAATTAAAAACAAATCCTTTCTCCAAGTTTTACGAGGATCTGCCGATATTTACCCTATCCTCTATATAAAACGTAAAAACAAAGATATTTTATTTGTTTATTTACTAGCTATACCCAGTATGCTGTGCTACCCTAAAAGCAATATAAATAAGAAATCCAGTTAACGATTTTGATGATTCTAACTACAATGGTTTTCCAGATATACAATTTGTTACATATGGGAGATTCCACGCAAATTATTGCAATTTCTCTTAATGTTCTTCAGTAAAATTTGAAGATTCTAGCTCTAATAGTTTCTCAGATATACGAATTTTTCTATTTAATTCATATGGGAGCTCCAAGCCCCCCAGATGAAAGTCCGCCCTTTTTTCTCCAAAATGTTCAGATGAATATTAAAGTTCTTCGTGCAAAATTTGAAGAATTTAGTTCTATTAGTTTCCCAGATAAACGAATTTTGTATTTAATTCATATGGGAGGTTCCGCTCCCCTCATTGGTAGTCCCCCAATTTATTACCCAAAATGTTTACATGGATGTTAAAGTTCTTCCAGAACAACATCATTTAAAAGGATCACAAAGAGATTGAAAAATATTCCAAAAGGCAGAGTATTTCTATTTTAGCGGTAATTTCTTTATGATTAAAATAAGTAAGGAGTAAGTGTTATATTCGGCAAATCATTTGTCGTAAAAAAGCAAATTTCGGAAGTGGTCATATACATATATATATGGACTTTGATCATTAGATTAATAAGAACGTCACCGTGATTTCGGATTAGAGACTTAAATGTGGAATTGGGTCAATTATGGACAAAGTCTCTATAATTTAAAGTATTTTTTTTTTAATTCTACCATAAATCTATCATAATGATAACTTTGGAATGATGTATTAGCTATAAACTGATTTTCTGTAAGAGGGTTATATTGGCGGACCGATCCTCAAAATTTATTTTTCATAAATGTAGGTTTCGGTTCCTAAAAATGTTTTTCCTTCGACATCGACATTTGAAAGCCATTTATGTTCGTTTAAGTCATTTTCTGGAGAAGATTTCATATACATATTTACATTACATATTTTCGTTCCAACAAAGTACGTAGAAAACGGTAAAATCAATTATTGAAGGGGGCAGGGTCAATTATGGCCTATAGAGATTTCGATTGATATCGAGCCTTTTTTGCAAAATGGACGTAAGCGAGATAAATTTTCGTTCAATTAGGATACTGCGTGTTTAATTTTATGTTTATATATTCAATATTTTAGAAAATTCAAAAAGTACCAGTTAAAGAACGAAAAATTACCAGAAATACTCCAGTTTAAATTTTCATTTACTCAAGTCCCTGATTGCTTAGTTTTATGTTTTTAGGCTCATTATAAAAGAAAATTCAAATAGTACCAGTTAAAGAACTAAAAAGTATTCAAAAAGTACCAGTCGAAGAACGAAAAAGTACCAAAAAGTCCCCTTTTATATGTTATCACTTAATCCGGGCTGTACATTCTTAATTTCATGTTTCTAGGTTCAATATTATAAAAAATTCAAAAAGTACCAGTCGAAGAACGAAAAAAAAAGTCCCTTTTTATAGATTACTCCGGGCTCTACATATTTATTTTTATGTTTCTATGTTTAATTTTATGTAAAACTCAAAAAGTACCAGTCGAAGTACGATAAAGTTCCCCTTTTATAGATTCTCATTTACTCCAGGCTCTAAGTGCTTAATTTCATGTTTCGAGGTTCAAATTTTGTAGCAAGCTCAAAAAGTACCAGTCAAAGAACGAAAAAGTACCAAAAAGTGCCATTTTATAGATTCTCATTTACTCCGGGCTCTACGTGCATAATTTCATGTTTATATCTTCAATTTAATAGAAAACTCAAAAAGTACCTTTTGAAGAACGAAAAAGTACCAAAAAGTCCCCTTTTATAGGACCTCACTTAATCCGGGCTCTACATACTTAATTTCACGTTTCTAGGTTCATTATTATACAAAAACTTAAAATGTACCTTTTGAAGAACCAGGTTCTCACTTAATCGGGGCTCTACACCGCTTTCATGTTTCTTATTATATAAAATTCAAAAAGTTCCTTTTGAAGAACGAAAAAGTACCAATAAGTCCATATTTATAGATTCTCAAGTGCTTAATTACATGTTTCTAAGTTCTAAGTCAAAAAGTACCAGTCGAAGTACGATAAAGTACCAATAAGTCCCATTTTATAGATTCTCATTTACTCCGGACTCTACTTGCTTAATTTCATGTTTCTAGGTTAAATTTTTTAGAAAACTCAAAAAATACCTTTGTAGAACCAAAAAGTTCCGAAAAGTCCCTTAATTATTAATTTCATGTTTCGATTTCAATATCATAGAAAACTCAAAAAGTACCTGTTGGAGAATGAAAAACTACCAAAAAATATCACTTGGTACCGGTGTTCCAAATAACACCCCATTAGCTTATTTAGTGTTTCTTGAATAATATCAAATTTCCCGTTTTTACCCCTTTTGGTACTTTTTTCCTCCCCATTAACAAAATAAAAATTCTGTTCCAAAAGTTGCAACATGGTATTGGGAGCCCGTTATTATGTTTCATAAAAAAGTACCAAAAATAGGTAAAATTTTCACCCCTTAAACGTTCGAATATTCAAAAAGTACTAAATTCATATTTTTATTTGTTCGTCAAGTTATGAAGGATTCAAAAACTACGCAAATTGATGTCTAAAATGTTTGAAAATATTAGTGTGCTTAAGAAATAATAATTAAAAAATAGTTCAAATTTTGATTATATTATTATTTGTAAATCATTTCCTTACAGATACTAAACCTACGGTTATCGCTTAACTGTTAGACATTCTGCCTGTTAAAATAATTTTTGAAAACTTAACGTTTGGATAAAAAATAAACAGAGGGGATTAGTGTTGCCATACCAAATATTATTTTAACCGACAGAAGTTTCCGGAATGTAGAATGTTTATAATACAATAAAGATGAATTAACCGTTACTTTTAAAATAAATTTGAAAGAGGAAGAAGCTGTGTATAAACCTAAATATATGCAGATGATTGAAGATATTCTATTCAAAATGGTAAGTTTAACAATTTTTATCACAAGAAGTTTTGATATACATATGTATAATACAATTAAAGAAAAATTTCTTAACATATAGCATTTTACAACTCTGGGAATAAAAAAATCAATTTTTCAAAGCCCGTTTTTTTTTGGAGAAATGGTATCTTGGAATGAATTAATTCCTTTGGGGCCTCCATAATTCAAACTCTTATTATGTCTCTAATTAGTCATTCGAGACATTTAAATAAATTTCCTTATACATTGTATTATTGTTTATAATAACATGAACTTATTTTTTTGTGGTTTTCAAGAAATAAACAAAGAATTTATGCATTTTTATTATTATTTTGAATATTTATAAACACAATTGTATTAGTCATGATGTGGATCATATAAAATAAAACAGCTGTTTTTTGGTAAAAAATTTTAGCGATTATAACTCTTGATCTAGTCGATCGGTTTTCATGGTTGTTTAGCTGTATAATAACAAAAATAAATCTTTACTTTTGTAGTCTGAAAAACTCCATATTCTAAAAAATTTAATACTTTTAATTACACTGTTTAAAAGTATTAAATTTTTAGAAAAAAAAGTTTCGATATATATCACTATAATTTCTGTAGCAATAGTTATGCATGTTTCAGACTAAGCCATTTTAAAATATATGTTTCGATATTTATTAATAGTAAAAATTTTATATTTCATATATATTTTGACATTGTATACCTCATTATATTACTGCCACAGGCACTTTAATTAATTTTAAATGTATAGTTTTATTTCTAAACACATATAATATATAATTAATTGAAAATAAATTTTACATTTGAGAACAAATAAATGTAATCAATATTTTGTTTTAAACAAGTCCAAAATTATTTAAATTCGTTGTTAAAATGATGTCTTTTACTGCGGTGAATACCACTCTAATATTCTCCGTATCTGTAGCACAGGTGAAGTGTGAGTACATTAAGGGACGAATTTTTAGAAACATATTCAATATAAATTCACGAGCATCTTTGCTATTGCCACGTTTTCCCTTAAAGTCCGGAAAATATTCATCCAAATGTGAGCGCTTAATTTTCTCATCCAGTAGATCGGTTTTATTTAAAAACATTATAATCGGTGTGTTTTGGAAAAATTTCGAAATTGATTCGAAAATCGATTTGGATTCTTTTAGTCGATTACGTTCTTCGTTCTCCTTTAAAACCTGATCATATTCCGAAATCGCAACTAAGAATATTATAGCTTTAACATCATCAAAGCAATGAATCCATTTTCTTCTCTCCGATCGTTGGCCACCCACGTCTATCAGTCGAAATGTTACATTGCTCACCTTAAATACGTGCTGTATTAGACCAGTCGTTGCTATACGAACTCTTAAAATATCCTGTTCTGTGGGTAAATAGTCTGGCAAAGCAATGCGATCAATATCATCTAAATAGTATTTAGCCGAATCGTTTAGTTGGTATTCATTACGTCGCATATAACATTCCTGTATGCCCTTGTCGTTCCAAAGTTCTTTGATTGCCGTCAAATAGGGATCTTCTAAATAGGTATTAGTTCCAGGATTTACATAAGAAATGAGCGTAATAAACTTCGTGGCATTTTCACTTTTCTCATATTTAATGTTTAAGGTTTCCATGGCTGTTACCATATTTTGTATAGCTTGGAAAATATTTTCATGTATCAATTTGATGAAATGTTTTCTCTCATCTTCGCTAAAGCCCTTGTCGTAAATAATACGCATTTGACGTGTAAATGTCGATTTTCCTGACTCGCCAGTTCCCAACAATAGTAATTTGATATCTTTTTTGTATTGTTTTTTAAGTTCCTTTAGTAATTTTCGCATTTTCATTTTTGCCTTCATTTCCTCAGTTCTAAAGCAATCCATTTTAGATTATTTATTTTAAGAAGAATTTTTCAATTCAAAATTTAACGACCGCTTTTTAAAGCACAGCGTATAGGTAGCGTTTATTAAAAAATACTGATTTATAATACTGTTTCATTTCATATTAATTTGTTCTGTACCTTTATATGTATGTATAAGTAGAAATTGTTTTTAATAGAAATCTTTTAGTTTTAAATATAAAAAGTTTATAATAAAATAAAGAATGTATGAGCGTTACAATAAAGGTATTCACTTCTTTTGCGAAAATGTAAAAACATTACAACAACATTTTAGAAAAATATTCCACAAACTTTTTTTTTTCATACTATTCGTTAATGAAAACCACAGATATCTTCGGGATCCAAATCTTCAATATTTTTAATGGACATGTTTTCGAGATCGATATTTAAATTAGCAAAATTGGCCTATAAATAACACAGGCCGGAAAAATTTTAAAAAAAGTCAAATCCTGAGACCAAGTTATAAAGGATTGAGCAGCTCTGAATCCGAATCTGACCTTAGATTTTCCCTATCATATCTGAGATTTGAGATATCGTGTCCTGAAATTTGAAAACAACGGCGTTTTTGGCCCTTTTTGAGTCGTTATAACAGTGCCAAGACAACTTCATGCATAAAATATTATATGCCATCTGAAAGCCGATTCTGTCTTTATAATAAAAGCTTAACATCTGACATATCTTTATCCTTCGAGATATCTTTACCCAAAGCTGGAAAACTCGGTTTATAACGAACAAAAATATTGGATCCAAATATTGGATTGAAAATGTTACAATCTGCACAAAATCACTTTCTGATTCTATTTAACGATGACTGTCCGCATGTTAACTTTAACGGATGATATCTCAGCAACTACAGCTGATTTTTAAACTATGTAAAAAGTATTTTCATAGAAAAAATTTAGTTTTTATAGGTTTATTGTTATTGCTTCTGGGCACGATATTTCGAATTACAGATTTAAAGGAGAAATTCTGAGGTAAGATTCGGATTCAACGCTGTTCAATCTCTTTGGACTCTGTGTATTTTTTTCAGCTAGTGTAAATGAGATATGAGCAAAATGCGAGACAACCTCTGAAAATTTTAGCAAAAACTGGAATTTTGTATACCTTTTTTGTTCTTCAATAGTTACTTTTTGAATTTTCTATATTATTGAACCTAGAAACATAAAATTAAACATAAAATCAGACATTTAGGATCCTGATGGAAAGAAAATCTTTAGGCACTTTTTGTTCTTCAATGAAAATCTAAAGAGGTAAATAAAGAATACTGATTAAATGAAACCTTATAATAGGGGAGTTTCTGATCATCATTCAATTGGTTCGTTTTTTATTTTCTGAATTATTAAATATAGGAATATAAAATCATGCATATATGATCCTGATGAAATGATATAATATATAATTAATGTTTGAATGAAAATCTATAAAAGTAGGCCTTTTGCGACTTATATCCTCTATTGGAGGATGATAGAAAAATCGATTTTTTAAAGGTAATTTATTAATTGAATTAAAAATATTTAAATTGATACGTAATACATAAAAAGACTTATTTATAAAAAAAAATAAAGGTGCAACAAGTTGATATTTTACGTTTTCATTTCACATAAGTCCAAATTTGTCCAAATTCGTATTTAAAATGATGTCCTTTACAGCAGTAAATACCATTTCAATATTCTGGGTATCTGTGGCACAGGTATAACGATGATACATATTGGGTCGTGCCTGTAAAAACATGTCCAATATAAATTTACTAGCCGCTTCGTAATCGCAACGAGGTCCCTTAAATTCTGGAAAGAACTCATCTAAATGTGAGTACATAATTTTCTCAGCAAATAAATCAATTTTATTTAAAAACAATATAATAGAAATGCCTTGGAAAAAGTTCGAAACGGATTCGAAAACTTTGAACGACTCCTTAAGACGATTGCGATGTTCATCTTCCTTGAGAACTTGATCATATTCCGAAATGGCCACTAAAAATAATATGGCCTTAACGTTATCAAAACAATGCATCCATTTTCTACGTTCCGATCGTTGGCCACCCACATCTGTTATACGAAACTTAACATTTTTCACTTGAAAATTATAATCAATTAGGCCAGTGGTTGCCTGACGAACTCTTAAAATATCCTGATTCGTTGGCACATAATCTGGCAGAGCAATGCGATCGATATCGTCCAAATAGTATTTAGTCGAATCGTTTAATTGGTATTCATTGCGTCGCAAATAGCATTTCTGTATGCCCTTGTCGTTCCATAGTTGTTTGATGGCCGACAAATAGGGTTCTTTCAAGTCAGTATCGCAATTGAAACTTACTTTATTTATGAGCAATGCATTTTCAGTGGCATTTTCACTTTTCTCATAATCAATTTTTAATAATTCCATGGCTGCAATCATATTTTTCATGGAACTAAAAATATTTTCATATATCAATTTAATATGATGCAATCTCTCCTCATCGCTGAAGCCATTGTCGTATAGAATACGCATTTGCCGTATAAAAGTCGATTTGCCTGACTCCCCTGTTCCTAGCAGTAATAGTTTAATATCTTTTTTATATTGTTTATTAAGTTCCTTTAGAACTCTTTCTATTTCTTTTTGTTCCAATTGTTCTTCATTTATTAAACAATTCATTTTAAAGTTGTTTATGGATTTTATAATAAAAAATATGTTGTTTTTGATCTGTTTTAAAACAGAACTATATAGAACGTCTTATAAAGAATACTGATTCATGATAAATTTGTTCTTATCCATATACTAGTTTTTAAAACAATTGTTTTATTTTATAGAAAGTATAAATTTATATTTTATCTTCAGATGAATCAGTTAAATTATTGAGGTTTAATATATACATATGTATATATACGGGCACACATTTGACACAAGAATGTCGTTTGTCAATATTTGAGATTTTTAAATTTCGATACAAATACGTTTTTCCATACAACGTATTTGTATTGAATGGACACCATAAGGTCCATTGTGATAAGTGTACTTTTTTCAAGGAATAAACTACTCTGCATCCGTATACATGAAGGATACTTATATTAGAATAATATATGAAAGAACTAATCATTCGCGAATATACGTTTATTTAAAAAGTTTATTTTGTCGTTTGGAAGTCCTTTCCGCAGGCTTCAAAATATTGGTTTAACCTCAGTTTAATTTTGTTCCTTCTTTTGGATCTATAAACATGAAGTTGAAAATAACCAAATTTAAAAAAAACGTGTAAGAGCTTACACGATTTACACATTTATTAAAGTTTGTTATCGTATAAAATGTACATTAGGGTGATTTTCGGAATAAGATCTTTGATAGGGGTTTGGGTCATGAACCGATCTAAAAAAATTTTAAAAAGGAGATTAATGTTTTTTTTTTTTAATCTTTTTGTTGATTTGTACCATGTTATTGAAATGTTTTAAAAGATTTATTGAGAATAGATGAGTTAATTATCAACAAAATGTTGAAGAGAATTTTTGAATCCTCTATACATATATAGTTTTTGAAGCAAGTTATGAGTGCTTAAGTAATTTTTTGAAGCGGACCTTATTTGGAGTCTTGGATCATATATGGCCAGATTCATATGAAATTTTAGTTTATATAAAACTTGTTTAGGACGATTTCTGTGGCTATACTGGTATTATGAGGTAGTTATGTAATTTTCTGAAGGGAAGAGAATTTTTGAATCCTCTATATATAATTTTTGAAGCAAGTTATGAGTGCTTAAGTAATTTTCTGAAGCGGACCTTGTTTGGAGTCTTGGATCAAATATGGACAGATTCATATGAAAATTTAGTTCATTGTTTAGGACGATTTCTGTTGCTTTACTGGTATTATGAGGTAGTTATATAATTTTCTGAAGGAAATCTCATATTTAAGGTTAGGGTCAGGTCCATAAAGGGAATTTACGTTCTTTCAAAATATTTTTGTTTCGAATTTCAATGCAATAATGCTATTTTTAAACTAGTTGTAAGCATTAAAGTCAGTTGTTAGCATTAAAGTAATTTTCCTTATGAGCGGGTTCGTATAAGGTTAAATAGGAAGATTTTCATAACTATACTGGTATTACGGTAGCTATCAGCGTAAAAGTAATTTTTTGAGGAGGTTCTTATATGAGGATCAAATATGAAAACTTGTTACATTTACGACCAAATTAACATTTCTATGACGATTTAAACCATATTCCATAGAATATTTCTAGGTCCATTCCTCTGGACCTTCTCAAGGACCCAGAGTATATATAATTTATAGGGTCTACGAGCGATATTTCTAAATGTCATTTGCCTATTTTGAGTTTTAAGCCACGATTATGAATAATTTAAATAATCCTGACTCGGGCCAGTATGCCTGGTCGTGGTAATTTTTTTAATTTGATCCTTAATTGAAATACCTCTATATATCAAATTACTTATTAAAAAAATTAATAAATTTTCAAATTAAACTTAAAGAAAAGTTTAATTTTCATGAATATTAAAATATTTTGAAATATAAGCTTTTTAAATATATATTCCTAAAATTCGAACTTAATTAAGGTATTTTTAAAAGTTTAAGGTCTAGTTATAAACTTTTTTTTTTTAATTTAAATAATTTGTGTAATATTTAAGTTTATTTAGTTTTTATAAATTTAATGTAAACATAATTTACATAAAATATAATAGATTCTCCTTAGGTCTTATTCTTTTGATGTAGCATTCTTATTGGTTTATATAAAAAAAATTGTTTGTATCTTTGCGGTTGACAATAAAAATTTTAATAGAATTCATAGTAATAAGTAATTTTTATTACATACATATAAATATAATAATAAGACTAATATTCTATAATATTAAATATAAATATTATACATGGAATAATCCCTTAATACTACTAACATTAATCAGGCAGTTTGAAAAATTACAATTGATCAAAAAATGGCTTTAAACTAGGTTAAAATTATATAAATTAGCATTTAAAATCGTATCTCGAACAGCTCTATAAACAAAAAGAATCCCTTGGTTATGTTCATCGGTACAATTTAAATAATAAGAGTAGACCCTTCGCTTTGTAGGTATGGTTCTCAAAAAAATGTTGGCAATAAAAGAACGAGCTTCTTGCGGATCATACGGTGATCCGGAGTATTCAGGAAAATAATCGGCCAAATGTGAGTAGGTGATCTTTTCCTCAAATATATCCAATTTATTAAAAACTATAATAAGTGCTGTGTCTTGGAAATATTGAAAAGACATAATTGAGTTCAAAAGTTCAATAGATTCTTTAAGACTATTGCCATGTTTCGAGTCCAAGGAGAATTGATCGTATTCGGAAATGGCCACCATATATATGATGGCGGTAACATTATCGAAACAATGTATCCATTTCTTACGTTCTGTACTTTGATAGCCCACATCGGCTATAAGGAATTCAACATTTTTATATTTAAACACATGTTCTTGAAAGCCTTTTGATGGTATACGTGCTCGTAAAATATCCTGGATGCTGGGTGTATAATGTGGATTGGCAATACGATCTAGATGACTGAAAAAATATTTCGTTGAGTCTAGTAGACCATACTGATGACCACGCATAAAACATTCCTGTATGCCAGCATCTGCCCAAAGTTCCTTTAAAGCCGTCAATAAGACATTAGTAAATGTTATCGTATTGTTCAATTGTACCATTTGTATAATATACGAATTTTTTACTGCATTCACTTTAGTCTTATAGGGTATCTGAAAAACTTTCATTGCTTCGATCATGGTTTGCATTGCGTAGAATATATTTTGAATTATAATGCCCACATATTTCGTGGAATCGTATGGCATATGAGTCTCGTAGCGCATTTGACGTATAAATGTAGATTTACCAGATCCCTTCGTGCCCAATAACAGCAATTTTATTTGTTTATTATATTTACGTTTGTGAATTTGCAGATTTCTTTCCAATCTTTTATTTTGAAGATTTTGAGCTCGTATCTCTTCAGAACATAAACAATTCATGTCGATAATAGTATTTATGTACAATTCTTATTAATATTATTCTTTTCGGACGTCTATAACAACCGTTGTTACGAGACACTCTGTCGTTACTAAGTTGTGAGATAAAATGCAATTAATGGTTTATAGCTTCTATTCTTGAGTATTTTAATGTCATTTTATTTACATTCATTTAAATTTATATGTTCATTTTAAAATTGATCATTTGCGATATACCGTCATAACTCATTTTTATACATTTTAATTTTCTTTTCATACATACATATATATTGTACTTCTTAGGGTGTCTTTGACAATAGACATAGGATTTCTATTGCCGACATGTAATTTCTTTAGATTCTAATAAAAATTTAATATATTTTACTGCAAGAATAATAATTTATTATAAGAAAAATACTCTGTTAAAGAAAAACGCAATATTTGAGTTATCACATTCTTTCTTTAAACATGATATTAATATAAACTCGTATGTATTCATTTCTATATTTTTTATAGAAGGTGAGCAATTTACCCAGTAAAAATGTACAGTATTTTGGATTTTCTAATACCCACATAGTTTTATTTTAGTAAGAAATATGCAACATCAGTAAGATTTTTTTAGAAAATATGTTATTGCAGGAATAAGGTAAATGAATTTCTGTTGAAAAAGTGTTGTCCTGAATAAAACTATAAAAAACACACACACCTATATTTGAATTTTATGATTTCAAGAAAAGCGTTTTGAAATTTAAAATTTTTTTAATGTAATGCTTGTTTAACTATCGATTGACCTGAAAATGTTTTCATGGCTTTAAGAGTAAAATTAAAATCCCTCCTATTCTGCAATTTCATTTTATACAAATATTGCTTTGCCGTTGAAAATGTCATTATGTCCATATATCTCCGGAATATTGCTTAAATACCTATAAATATGTTAATTATATAGTAATCGTGATAAAATGTTCCAGGAGTAAGTTTAATGCACCCTAAAATAATACTGTTAGGTATGAGGAACATCGGTCTATATTTGAACCTAGCCCCCATATAAGATGGTTTTAACGCACAGAACTTTGTGGTATTTAGATAAAATTGTAGAAAACTGATTTTTAAGAATTTAAAGACATTTTTAAATACTGTAGACATAATTGACCAAGGCGCCATAAAAGGGTCTATCCCGCAAATCACTTTGATAATAATGTATATAGAAATCGTAGTTAGTACATGTTAATAGATGGGATTTTTTACCAATTCATTCAAATAAATAAATATGAATGTCTTATTTTTCTAAGAAGTAAATAATGAAAGATATACTGCTATATTTTGCGCACAGTGGAACAGAGTAATAACAAATACGTCCTCTGCAGTATTTAAAAAGCATAAAAAATATTCAGTTAGTTAGTAAGTTAGTTAGTTATTTAGTTAGTTAGTTAGTTAGTTAGTTAGTTAGTTAGTTAGTTAGTTAGTTAGTTAGTTAGTTAGTTAGTTAGTTACTTAGTTAGTTAGTAGTTTGTAGTAGTTAGTTAGTTAGTTAGTTAGTTAGGTAGTTAGTTAGTTAGTAGTAGTTAGTTAGTTAGTTAGTTAGTTAGTTAGTTAGTAGTTAGTTAGTTAGTTAGTTAGTTAGTTAGTTAGTTAGTAGTTAGTTAGTTAGTTAGTTAGTTAGTTAGTTAGTTAGTTAGTTAGTTAGTTAGTTAGTTAGTTAGTTAGTTAGTAGTTAGTTAGTTAGTTAGTTAGTTAGTTAGTTAGTTAGTTAGTTAGTTAGTTAGTTAGTTAGTTAGTTAGTTAGTTA